TGGTGAGTGCCTCGCTCTCGCATTGCCTCGCTCTCGCATTGCCTCGCTCTCGCATTGCCTCGCTCTCGCATTGCCTCGCTCTCGCATTGCCTCGCTCTCGCATTGCCTCGCTCTCGCATTGCCTCGCTCTCGCATTGCCTTGCATTGCATTGGAGTGCCTGTAAACCGTAGAGAACGCGCGGCAGCAACGGGTACTACGAGGGGGTGCTAAACTTTACCAGAGGAATGCCCGCGCACGGTAGAGAACTTCACCACGCCCTGCAGCAACGGGTACTACGAGGGGGTGCTGTTGCACCGGGTCATCAAGGGCTTCATTTTCTCCTACTCTTTCTTCATCCTCTCCCCTGGTTTTGCTTCATTCTCCCCATTCCTCCCCACAGGTCATGCACACCACCATGGGTGATATCCACCTGAAACTATACCCAGAGGAATGCCCTCGCACTGTGGAAAACTTCACCACGCATTGCAGCAATGGCTACTACGAGGGGTTGCTGTTCCACCGCGTCATCAAGGGCTTCATTTCGCCTATTGTTTTCCTTCATCCTCCCCCCTTCCCCCAACAGGTCATGCACACCACCATGGGTGACATCCACCTGAAACTATACCCAGAGGAATGCCCTCGAACTGTCGAAAACTTCACCACGCATTGCAGCAACGGCTACTACGAGGGGTTGCTGTTCCACCGCGTCATCAAGGGCTTCATGGTGCAAACCGGCTGCCCCCTCGGGGACGGCACGGGCGGCCAGAGCATCTGGGGAGGCGAATTCGCCGACGAGTTTCACAAGAGGTGGGTTGGAGGGGGGTGGCGCGTGGGGAGAGGGTGGGGAGGAGTGGGGAGGAGTGGGAGGGAGGCTGTGCACGTGTGTATGAGTGTGGGTGGGTGTGGGGATAGTAGTGGCAGCACATAGTGCACTGCAGCAATGGCTATTACGAGGGGTTGCTGCTCCACCGCGTGATCAAGGGCTTCATGGTGCAAACCTAGTTTTCCTTCATCCTCCCCCCCCGCCCGTCCGCCCGACCGGCTGCCCCCTCGGGGACGGCATGGGCGGCCAGAGCATCTGGGGAGGCGAGTTTGCTGACGAGTTCCACAAGAGGTGGGTTGGAGGGGGGTGGAGAGGGGTGGAGAGGGTTGGAGAGGGGTGGAGAGAGGTGGAGATAGGTTCTATGCGAGTGGGTGTGTGCGGGTGGGCATGGCACGGGCGGCCAGAGCATCTAGGGAGGCGAATTTGCTGACGAGTTCCACAAGAGGTGGGCTGGGAGGGGGTGGAAGGGGTTGGGAAGAAGTCTGTGTGTGAGTATGAGTGTATGTATTAGTGTGAGTGCGTGCGTGTGTGTGTGTGTGTGTGTGTGTGGTGTGTGTGTGTGTGTGTGCGCGCGCGCGTGCGCGCGCGTGTGTGTGTGTGTGCGTGCGTGCGCGCGTGTGTGTGTGTGTGCGTGCGTGCGCGCGTGCGTGAGTGTGTGTATGCTCCTTCCCCATTCTCTCTTCCCACGTTCTTCCCCTTTTCTCTTGCCTTGCCCTTTTTCTCTTCCTTTCCCCCCCTCGACACTGCTCATCCTCTCTTCATTGTTTCCCTTCCCTTGTTTCTCTCCCATTCCCTCCCCTCATATCCCTTACCCTACAATCTGCAGCAGGATTGCCCCTTCACGCTATCAATGGCCAACGCAGGTCCCAACACTAACGGCAGCCAGTTCTTCATCACCCTCCCTCCCCTTGCCCCCCCACCTACCTTCCTTTCTCTGCCCCTTCCTCACCTTCTCCCTCCCTTTTCCCCCCCACCTGCCTTCCTTTCTCTCCCCTTTACCCCCTCCTCTGTGCTCCCTCCCCCCCGGCCATTCTGCAACAGGATCGCCCCTTCACGCTATCAATGGCCTATGCAGGCCCCAACACCAATGGCAGCCAGTTCTTTATCACAACTGCCACTGCTCAATGTCTTCATATGCCCCTCTCCGTTACTCTTTTCTTCCCCTCTTCTCCGTCTTGCCTGCAGTCTGCGTCACGATCGGCCCTTCGCTTTATCCATGGCCAACGCAGGTCCCAACACCAACGGCAGCCAGTTCTTCATCACCACTGTCCCTGCTGCTATTCTCTCTATCCCCTCGCGCTCTGTTCTTCATTCCTCTACTACTTTCTCCCTGCTCCCCTCTCCCCTCCCCCTGCAGTCTGCATCACGATCGCCCCTTCACTTTATCCATGGCCAACGCAGGCCCCAACACCAACGGCAGCCAGCTCTTCATCACCCCTGCCACTGCCCCTTTCTCACGCAATCCTTTCCTCTCTCCGCTCTCCTCTCTCCGCTCTCCTTTCTCCCCCTTTACCCTCCCCTCTTCCCTCCCCATGCAGTCTGCGTCACGATCGCCCCTTCACCTTATCCATGGCCAACGCAGGCCCCAACACCAACGGCAGCCAGTTTTTCATCACCACTGTCGCCACGCCTTGGCTCGACAACAAGCACACCGTGTTCGGGCGTGTAGTGAAGGGCATGGACGTAGTACAGGTGAGGGAGATTGTTTGGTGCAGATGAGTGTGTACAGATGGGTGCACATGGGTTATGTATGGTGGGTTTGTTTGTGTTCTTTATCTTGGCTTAACGACAAGCACACCGTGTTCGGGCGTGTGGTTAAGGGCATGGACGTAGTACAGGTGAGGGAGAGAGAGGGGTGGCAAGGAGTTTGTATGGGTACATTGGTTTAACGTATGTATGAGTTTATTTGCATTCTTCATCACCACTGTCGCCACGCCTTGGCTTGACAACAAACACACCGTGTTTGGGCGTGTGGTTAAGGGCATGGATGTCGTACAGGTGAGGGAGATTGTTTGGTGCAGATGAGTGCGTACAGATGGGTGCAGATGGGTTATGCATGTATGGGCTTATTTGCTTTCTTCATCACCACTGTTGCCACGCCTTGGCTGTGCAACAAGCACACCGTGTTCGGGCGCGTGGTTAAGGGCATGGATGTCGTCCAGGTGAGGAAGAGAGGGGGGTGGCGAGGAGTACATATGGGTACATTAGGTTCATGCATGTATGAGTTTATTTGCATTCTTCATCACCACAGTCGCCACGCCTTGGCTGGACAACAAGCACACCGTGTTCGGGCGTGTGGTTAAGGGCATGGATGTAGTACAGGTGAGCTGAGAGAGAGTGGTTGGGAGGAGTAGAGATGGGTGCATGTGATCTATGTTTGGGTCTACTTGCATTCTTTATTGCCACCTGTGCGACGCCTTTTCTCCCCCCTTCCCTCTGCCCCTCGTTCCTGCTCTCCTCCTTTCCCCCATGGTTAGAAGGCCAAGGAGGATCATAATGAGAAGCCCTTGTGGGAAGGTCTTTTTCCTGCCCCTTTTTCCCCCCTCTCCCCACTCCCCTCTCTTGCATCAGCTCATTGAGAAGGCCAAGGCGGATCGTAACGACAAGCCTTTCTGTTGTTGGCACGGCTGTTTCCCAAGTGATTGAAGAAGTGTTTTGAGACGTCTCAAAACACTTCTTCAGTCATGAGAAGGCCAAGGCGGATCGTAACGACAAGCCTTTCTGTTGTTGGCACCCAACCGGCTGTTTCCCAAGATGCATATGTCTTTTTGGCCCCCTTTCTTCTCCCCCCTTCCCGCCTCTGCACATTCCTCCTCTCCTCCGTTTCCCGATTCATTATCAGCTTAATGAGAAGGCAAAGGTGGATTGCAACGACAAGCCCTCCAAGGTGACTTTTTAGTCGACTTAGAAGTCTCCCCCCTCTCCCCACTCCCCTCTCTTGCATCAGCTTATTGAAAAGGCTAAGGTGGATCGTAACGACAAGCCATATGAAGACATCAAGATCCTCAATGTCACCGTGCCCAAGTAGGGCCATTCGTTTTGAGAGTTACTATTGAAACATGCTTATAGTGGATCGCAATGCCGACGACTCAGGCCATACGAAGACATCAAGATCCTCAATGTCACTGTGCCCAAGTAGGGCCTCTCTTGTTGAGAGTTACTGTAGTTACAACGTTCAGAACGTGCCTACTACGGTAGATCGCAATGTTGAAACTCGAGCCATATGAAGACATAAAGATTCTCAATGTCACTGTGCCCAAGTAGGGCCTCTCGTGCTGAGAGCTACCGGTACTTATGAAACATGCTTATCGCGGAGTGCAATGCAATGTCAAGGAGTCAGGCCATATGAATGCATCAAGACTCTCATGTCATTGTGCCCATGTGGGACCACTACGTTGGGAAGATTATTCCAGACTCCTGTGGTGCACAATATACACTATTGGTGTTAACACGACACCAAAACCACATGGTCTTTCCTACATAAAAACTCTTCAATTGTCAAAATTGGCAGCTCTGGTGATAGACGGGAGCAGCTGGAGACAAAATTGCGGCAGCGCAGCTGAACCTCGGGCTGCCTCGCCATCAGAGGGCACACCTGCATGGCGTGCCCCTTCCCGCGTAACATTTGTAAGGACGCGTCACAATTGCGACATCGATCCTGCAGGAGATCGATGTTCTAGGTGTACAGCTATTCGCTATGTCTTGTATCCCTATTTCGTTGAAGGTCGCAAAGACCCGACACACGTCACCGAACGCGATATCCCTTCCAAATCGATCTGTCACCGCACTCAAATCATACGTAATGCATTTGCAGCTTTTAAAAAGGCTTCTAACCCCGCTAACTATCGAACCTGAAGACGATCGCGACACATCTGGCTCAGAGGAGATCGATTCTCACAGCTTCGGTGTGTGACCGCGATCCTCCATCGATGTCGCAATTGTGACGCGTCCTAAATGTGCCCTGAAAGTGTGCCTCTCACATCAGTGGGTGGGAGGGGGCCCCCGTATCTCCCATCCCATCCCATTGCCCCTGGAAGCGAATTACGCTCACATAATTTACGTAGTCACACACCATGAGTACGCGGTTGAACGCTAAACAACTCCCTGCTAGCAGCCCAGACGAGAATTGTAGGTGGCGCTGCTGCTGGCACGAAGCGTGTCGTTATCATTTGATATCCAAGTGTGCTTTGAGTCGACTCAAAACCCCCCTGCTCGGGCGCACTGCTGGAGGGCAGAGAACCGTCTGGCAGGAACAAAGCGGGCTTGGAAAAGACCAGCACCCACACCAGTTGAGAATTGTAGATTGCGGTTCTGCTGCTGCTGGCATGATGTGTGTGCAGCCAAAGCAGCAGCTGCGATCGCACTAGAAACGGCAGATGCGTGAAATCTTCCAGCTGGAGCAGCAGTGGCAGCAGATGGGGCAGCACGAGCAGCAAATGGGCTGGCAACAGGAGCAGCCGGGACATCAACGGAACAGTCAGCAGAGACAGTAGGAGAGGTGATAACAGAGTGGGTTGAAGCGTCCCGATCCCCAATCACTGCTCCTTCGCTACCGTAACCATCACCATCCACTTCCGCCTTCTCCTTATCTCCCCCCACTGCTCCCCCGCTCGCACTTTGAAAATTCTCGTAAGTCACCCCCTTCGCCTCGCACACCACTCTCTGGCTGACGGCAGCCATCCACTTAGCGTGCAGATACTCCCACTTGCGCCACGGCGGAACGTGCATGCCTTGCGCCCTTAAAGCCCCGCGCATCGCGCCAGATACCACCTCCACCAGCCGCGCCAGCCGCTCCGACCTCCCGACGAAGATCAACGGCGTGGATTCGAGCGCCGCCGCGTACTCGCGCGTGGGCCGTGCGATCTGGAACTGCGCGCGGAAATCAACGTCTATGATGAAACGCTGGGGGACGGCGGCGGAAGCGGGGGCGGCGGAAGCGCCGTTGGCGGAAGCGGAGGAGGCGCTAGTCAGGAAAGGGGAGGCGCGGGTGACAATGCTGGGGGGAGCGGTTCGTGTGAAGGTGGGAGGAGGGGAGGCTATGTTGTCACAACGGTGGAGGATGGGATCGAAGACGGTGGAACAGGGAGAGGCGGATGGGTGCGAGGGAGCGGGCGGATTCGCGGACGTAAGGACGTCGATGTACTCGTATGATCCTGCAGGAGCGACAGAGGAAAGAGGAGGAAAGTTAGTATTCCGGAAAGCTGTGCGGAAATTGAGGAACAAAATCGAACGGGCGATGCATGAAGAAAACGAGTTGCAAAATTGGAATAAATGGCATAGCACGGAATCTGGTTACTGGGGTGACTGAGAGCAGGGAGTTATTACTGACCCTCGGGAATGGTGGGAGAGGTGTCCCACTGCGTCGCGCAAACCGCCGCGTCGTACCCCATCGCACGCAGTCGCCCTACGACCGCCGCGTTCAGGCTGCTCCCTCGCAGCTCCTGCGACGGGATGTCGTCGCACGACAATTTTGCGCGCGCGTCGGTCATCGCGGCGATGACGTCAGCGTAGAGAGCGCGCTCAACGGAGTCATCCATGGCTGCCAGCGACTGCGGAGGGAAAACAGCGCGAGGAAGTGAAACGAAAAATACGGGGATTAGAGGGGTGATGGTAGGCTGCTCCTTACATGCTGATTAGACAAGATATGAGACATAAATGAGCAACGACAAATGCGCAAATGCTTGCGGATGGCTGAGGAGGTGAGGCGATGCCGTACCTGAATCAAACGAAGCTGATTTTGCTCCGCCATTTGCATCTGCCTGTCCAGATAATCCGCTGACAGCCGTCGATTCAGTATCGGCTGTGCTGGATGCGAAGCGCGCATGGTGGTCGATGCCGTTACTCCGTGGAGCTCTGTTCTCAGCATCAAGCCGTCGAGCGCGTCGCGATCCTGATCGCCTTCTTCGAGATACTCGGAAATTAAATCGTCGAGGTGCATCGAGGAGGGAATTGCCACGTCAGCGAATGATACGGGCGTGTTCGACGAGTCTTGCGGCCGGGGGTCGAAGGCGTCGCCTTGAATCAGATGCAGCCCGAAACGACCGGCGGGATTTGAGGTGATGCGCGGAGAATCGCTCCCACGAGGGATCGACTGTTGCGCGACGGTCATTTGCGGAAGTTGAAAACAATGCTGCTGTAAATGAGGCGACTGCTGCTGGAATGAAGGAGCAGCGGGGCCTAACGAAAGGCCTAGATTTGCGGGGACATTAACGGAGGCGCTTTCCGCGGTCGACACACGAATCTCTTTCTCTTTGCTGAAAGCGTGGGCGAAGCGAGAGGAGCTCTGGGACGATAGAATGCTGATCAGGCCCGGCATGGCGCCTGGTCGGATCGGCCGGCCTCAGACGTCGAAATGTGTGAAAAAATGGGAAGCGCAGGCTTTGAAGGTAATGAAAAGCTCTGCTGTGGTGTAGTAGTACAGATGTGGATGGCCTTTCAAAGTTAATTAATAGATATGTAGAGCTCACTGTATGTAGTGACGGGAGAACGACGTATGGCTGGGTCTAGAAGCAGACGCGCGGCTTCGGAGCGACGAGACGAGATCCTGTGTTGGGTTCGCTTCACACGTTGAGCGGACTGCTTTCGGCTCGACACGGGGTGACGTGACGTTTCAGATGGTACGAGAGGAAGCGTGCGGAACGCGAGATGCGGCGCACTAACCCGAGCCAACTATTATCCGCATCTACTACGCGAATCACCTGTGTCTAGATGCTGCTGTTCGGCCTTCCAGTCTGCTTCGTCGCAAGTAATTACAACCAACCAATCAGTCAGTCTGTTGCTGACGAAAAGGTCCTCCTGGTGCCAGTGGATCGAAGGGTCAAGGGAGCCCCACACATCGCCCTCGGTTCTACTGCCTTGGTGGCCAAACGAAGTGTGGTGCGTGGCCTGCAGTGAAAGGCGAGGGTAGGGCCCCTTCTGACAACTTGCGCCCTGCTGGCAAATTCAAAAGCAGCGGAAATGCGCAAATGTGCGTGAAATTTGTGTCTTGCTTCTGCTGCTGTGGTCTCAAATCTCGATCTCACAACTAGAGCAGATGTGAGGAATTGGGCAGGAGTGGATGGGAGCAGAGCAGAGGAGATTAGGGCGTGTCCGAAGTGCCCCTCGACATCCATCCGTCATCCATCCGTCATCGGATGGATGACGGTGGCGGATGACGGGGGATGACGGATGGATGACGGCTGGATGTCGAGTCACTTCGGACACACTGCCGGCGACATAACTGCCCAAAAAAATGCCGACCGGCACTGTTGGCGCCGGCAGGGGTAGACCAGAGAAAATGTTAAATGTTCAAATTTGAATCTAACGAATTTCGCTAACATGTTTCGTCACCCCGTGCAGTCACAAAGGACGGTCGTTTGCCAAGAGATACTTTCGCCATGTTTCCCCCTCAAAATTTGTTATCAAACTTTGGGTTCGTTGACTGCCTCGTTGACCAGCCCGATGTCACTGTTGGCGGCACCCTTGACTGTAATGATTACACATGGCTGGATGACGGATGGATGTCGGTCGGATGTCGAATCACTTCGGACACAACGCCGGCCTGTAAATTCTCACCCACCCACCCTGACATCCGTCGACATCCGTCGACATCCGTCGACATCCATCGACATGTCACTTCGGACACGCCCTTACGATTTTTTAGATGATTGGGCCGATTGGAAACCGCGCCACGCACAAACACACACGCGCAGCGCACTTCCTTCTCACACCAGGTCTGTACTTCCAGGTCAGCAGAGTTTTTAATTTGAGTTTCCCGTTAGAGAATTTCCACGAGGCGAAAATAGCCAACCGTAATCGATCCGACGGTTCTACAACCATCTCGAAGCAGGTGCTGCGGATCTGACGGATGAACGTTGCGCAAAATGGAAGATTCGAGTTGAGTCTCGACTATTCCGTTTGGCTTGATCCTTCCCGCTTACTCTCACCAGTCCGTTTTCTCTGGTCAGTGCTAACGGCGGGAGATGCTCTGCCCAAAAGGAAAGATGCTGGAAATCACCCAGTTGGCTGGACAGCAAAATTCGGAGGAGACGTGTGACCTGACGATGGCGTGTCCCTTACGTACCGTCGAGGTGGCAACACCATAGCCTCGGATCTTTGACACGTGGCCACTTGACTCTCGTTTTATTGGCTGCAAAGGTGCTGAACTTTCACACGCAACCTTGCCTACACATTGTGTCGCGGGTGGGGAGATATCGTCACCTGCGAAAAATATTACAGCTGAGTACACTGCAAACAACATGCACTAGATGTGACAGAAACATAAAAAATGATAGACGCTATTTGAGGGCATACATTGATCTGTCGGTGCAAGCGGAGCAGAACATAACACGGAAGGCAACAGAGCAGACATATCTGACAATCAAAAAAGGCAAGAACAATGAACAGAGCAACAAAGGGAGTTGCCTGCAGGTGTTTTGTGTGAATATTTCTATGCACACTAACAAATCTCAACTGCAACACGTGCCCCACGCAACAGGATGAGTTGGCACAAATTCTTAAAGCCCGCAGCTAAAATAGTGACCCCCGTCCCAACTTGAATAAGGAATATGAAACCAGTCTCAAAAACACTGTTTCAAACGATTTCTATGGGCAGAGTGAACTTATGTTATTGGCTCTCGCCACAATGGAACGTGATGGTTCCCGCCAAAAAGAATTTTGTTTCTCATTTCAGCCGTCGCATTTTTGCGTGCCGCATCCGCACGACAAACCCCAAGCGATGGTTTCCCATCGCAGGCCCAACTTCATTTTCAAGCTGGTGGGGGGTGCATAACTAGATTTCCGTCACTCCCTTCATCACTAGTTTCCGCATAGCATAGTAAGTAGTATAGCTGAAAGCGCAGGCGTTTGTGCCATAGCCGCGTAATTACCGACGAGTGCGTCGATTGTCGACTTAGCAAGAGTGTGAAACGTAGTAATACGTCGCCTGGCAGCGCAGTGCCAGTTTCCCCTCGTTTATCTCCCCTCGCTGCTCGTCGCACTCGCCATTGCTAATGGGGTCCGCCGTCGCCTCTCTCTAGTCCGTCCCGACGCCTTTCCGTCGCCCTCGCAAACACACTCGTGACGGCCCTCCCGTCGTCCTCACGGTCTCCCCTCCCGTCCCGTTATTCTCCCGTTCACCCCTCTTGTCCCCTCGCCCTCGCGATTTCCCTCCGATCCCGTCGCCCTCCCGTTCTCCCGCCCCTCGCCTTCAATGTCCCCTCTTCCTTCCCGTCGCCCTTGCGTTATCCCTTCCTCCCCTCGCCTTCAATGTCCCCCCTTTCCTTCCCGTCGCCCTCACTATCTCCCTTCCCTCACGTTGCATTTTCCTTCCCGTCGCCCTCGCGATATCCCTTCCCCCTCCCCCCCCTTCGTCGCCTTTCTTCTCTCCCCGCCCATTACACACCTCGTCGCCTACGCTCTTTCTCTGAAACACCCTCCCCGCGCCCTTTGTCCCCCCCCTGCCATCACTTTTCTCGTCGCCTTCGCGCTCTCCCTCCCGTCGCCCTTGTAATTTCCCCTCCCATCCCGTCGCCTACTTCATCTCCTTTCGCTCACGTCCTCCCCTCCCATCAGCATCGCGCTCACGTTCCTCCCTCCCCTCGCAATCACGCTCACGTGCACCTGTCTTCGCATCGCCTCCGCGCTCAAGGTCTCCCCTCCCATCGCGCTCGCTATCTCCTCCCTTTTTCTCGTCGCGCTCGCTATCTCCCCCCCTCTCCCCGTCGCGCTCGCTATCTCCCCCCCTTTTCTCGTCGCGCTCGCTATCTCCCCCCCTCTCCACGTCGCGCTCGCTATCTCTCTCGCGAACTCGTATCGATCCCCCATTTCCAGTCGCCCTCCGTTCCCGTCGACCTCCGTTCTGATCGCCTCCGCGATCTGATGTCATCGCCTCTCCCGTCGCCCTCCCATTTCGCGTCGCCCTCCGTTCCGATCGTCTTCGCGATCGGCTCTCACATCCCGTCGCCCTCCCGTCTATTTCGCCATCTCCCATCTGTCCTCATCGCCCTCACGATCTCACTTCCCATTCCCTCACAATGCAAGTCCCCCCTCCCTTCTCATCGCCCTCACGATCTCACTTCCCATTCCCTCACGATCTCACTTCCCATTCCCTCACGATCTCTCTCATGGAAGACGAGGCTTCCCTTCCCTTCGTTGATCGTCAGCTCTCATCCCCTTCCCGTCGCCTCACTTTCTCCCATCCCCTTCCGTCGCCCTCACCTTCTCCCGTACCTTCCCGTCTTCCTGGTGTTCTCCAGTGCCCTCCGTCACCCTTCCTCTCTCCCCTGCCACCCCGTCGCCAGTTTCCGGTTCCTCTATCCCCATCACCCTCTTTCTCTTTACCTCTCACAGGCTCCAAGTCCAAGGCCGCACATTGCTAGATGCGAATTTGGTAAAGTATAGGCACTAGCGTGTGTATTTGGCTCTCATCACGTACATGTGTGTCCGCTTGGGAGTAGAGTGAGATGTTGATAAATGTGACCTTGGTGAAGTATCGGCTCTAGTGAGTGCAGGAGTGCACGTCGCTCAACTTTGCGCCAAATTCGCACACGTACATGTGAGGGATTCTGGCTGCCAATCAGAATTGAGGAAGAACTTTCGTTCGAGGCCCACTACCAAACTCGTATGAAGGCTGAAAAAAAAAGCACACAGCTTTTCCAACTTTTCAAAACAATACAAAAAGACTTGAGTAATCAAGTTGGGTCCAACTAGAAGGGGGGGGTCACTATTTTAGCTACGGGCTTTAAGAACCGTTCATACAACGAACATAATTCTGTGTGGCTACAGTGGGTAAAAAATCCACTTCCTACAGGCTCCATGTCACCAGTCACACTCGACCAGCCTCCACCTGCACTATTTTTCCTCGCTGCCCCACTCCCTTGGCCACCAGTACGGGCGGCTCGGCAAAACTTTCAGAGCTGCCCCGTTCCCTGCTTTCACTGCCAGCTGTGATCCCAGGTTGAGGCCATGAGCCAATCGCAGCAGCGCCAAACCTGTCAACTCCTTTGAACCACCAGCACCAGCTCCAGCACCACTGCCATCACCCTCAGAACCGCACAGGACCGCATTCACTCGTCCAACAGCCTTCCCAGAAACTGTTTCCACTATCTCAGCCCCTGAAGACACTGTTACCTCCCCAACCCCCTCCCTCACGTCCTCTCCACCTCCTTCCCCGGACGGCACGATTCGGACTGGCATGAGTCGTTTGCGCACCACACCCCTGTGGTGAGTCCTGGCAGTGAGCTCCTGCCCCACATAGCACCCCTTGGTGAAGCTGATGGCGTGCAGTGCTGCTAGGTTGCACTCCAAGGGAAGGGCTTCACCTGCCAGATTGTAAAGGGTAGGTGTGGTGTGGGGAACACAGTGCAGTGAATCGGTGGCTTGCGCACCACACCCCTGTGGTGCGTCCTGGCAGTGAGCTCCTGCCCCACGTAGCACCCCCTTGGTGAAGCTGATGGCATGAAGGGCTGCTGGGTTGCACTTTTTTGAATTCTGAAAGTGACTCTAAAGGCAGGGCCAAGTGGAGAATGGGTTATAGACAAACATATAACAGCTAGTACAAGCGTGGTCTCTGTGAAAATCGAAGCATACTATTAACTCAACGAACAAAAGCATCTCGGAAGATGTGTTACGTTCGTACCACTCAACATCTCCCTGCATCGCAATGCATACCTCTTGGCATCTCTTCGCACCCCTCCGCCACTCCCATTGCAAACCGAAACCTCCTGTAGCTCTCCTCCCCCTCTTCAACCTGTGCATCCACCAATGGGGCTGGTGGTAAGTGAAAAAAGGGGAATGAGAGTGAAGAGGACGGTTAAGAATCGCACATCACCGCACTGAATCCATCTCCTACGAAGAATTGGAATCTTCTGCAGATCTCCTCCCCCTCCCCCACCTGTGCATCCACCCATGGGCTACCCCCCCTCCCCACCCCACCCTACCCCCTCCCCTCCCCTCCCAGTTGTTTTAGAAACAAACTCACGGATTCCATTAGCGCAAAACAGCCTCTTACACCCAATCCTGATAAAATCGGATTACGATGCTGCCACTAACCCTCCCTCGTGGCTTCAGCTGTCGGCCCTCCCCCCTCCCCACTCCACCCCACCCCACCCCACCCCACCCCACTCCATCCCACCTCACCCCACCCCACCCCACCCCACCCCCTCCCCTCCCAGTTACTTCAGAACAAACGTCCAAATTTCACTAGCGAGAAAGAGCCCTCTTGAACCCAGTCCAGGCAGCCTGAGGACCCGATGCCACCGCCACCCCTCCCATGTTGCCTCTGCTGTCAACCCTCCCACCTGACGCTACCGCCCACCCCACCCCACCCCACCCCACCCCAACCCTACCCAGATGCTTCAGAATCAACTTACGGATTTCACTGGCAGGGAAGAGCCCTCTGAGCCCCAAGCCAGGCAACCTGGGGTCACGATGCCACCGCCATCCCTCTCTTGTGGCTTCTGCAGTCAGTTCTCCCAACTGATCCACTCTGCCGCCCCACCCCAACCCCTCGCCCGCTGCTGCCTCGTCTGGGAGTGCTGGGTCGGAGGAGAGCCGCGAGTGGAAGTGCGCCCACACTGCCACGTCAGATGACACGTCAGCGAATGACACGTTGGCACGCAGCTTGTGCCTGTGGATAAGGGGGCGTGGGGATGGCAGGGGGGGGAAGGAGCGGCAGGGATGACACGGGGGTGCAAAGGTAAGGGGAGCATGGGACCTGGATTGGAAACATAATCAAGACTACACTTACATAAATACAGTGTGAATATAAAATAAAAAGGAAAATAAGAAGGAAAGAGAGCACACAGAAGAAAAAGCCTACTTCTTCAGGTGAGCCAGCAGGTCGTCCAGGTTCGCTACATCTACATCCGCCAGGAGCTCAGGTGCGTCTGGGTTGCCTGTATCTGGACCGGCTCCTGTCGGATCCAACTGACTCGACACCGCATCCTGGAGAGAAAGGTGGGGAGCGGTGGGGTGAGGTAGCGTGGGATGAAGAGAAGGTAAGAACCTGTGTTTATTCCTATTCATTCACCAAGCGGCTTCAGAGAAAAACCTAATGAGGAGATACTACATCCTGGGGAGAAAGGGATGGACTCGTTTGAAGGGTGAGTTTGGGTGGGGAAAGAACGATAAGGTCGGTACAGGAATAGGCCATACAGAGTCGGATTTGCACATGATCATGAGTCTCACCGAGTGCGGCGGTCGGTACAAGAAGAGGTCGTAGAGAAACGAGGTGACTTTTGAGTCCGACTCAAAAGTCACAAGAAGAGGTCGTAGAGAAACCTCCCGTGAGAGGAGAGCAGCGCGGAGTAAATTGGCGGATGCACGCTGGCGGGTTGATTCGGCGTGGGGATGGGGGAGGGGGGATGCGACCGTCGGATAGCTTACCGCGTGTGGCGGGCGGTAGAGGAAAAGATCGTATAGAAACCGGCCTTGCGGGGAGAGCAGCGCGGAGTAGATTGGCGGATGCACGCTGGCGGGTTGATTCGGCGTGGGGATGGGGGAGGACACGGGGGGGGAGCTGCCGGGAAAGGGTTTGCGAGCACCGGATAGCTTACCGAGTGTGGCGGGCGGTACAAGAAAAGATCGTAGAGAAACCGGCCTTGAGGGGAGAGCAGCGCGGAATAGATTGGCGGATGCACGCTGGCGGGTTGATTCGGCGTGGGGATGGGAGAGGCAACCGGAGGGGGTTGCTGGAGGAACGTGCTGACGTCATTCGTCAGCAGGCCTTGCAGGAAATTGATCGCATCGCGACCGTCGAATCGGATCACGCCTCGGCTGCGAAGCCGCGCCGCCATGGGGTTGCTACGCGACGCGTCCTCGCGCCCCTCTGTGCTCGTATCCGCGCCTGCACCGATCTTTCTTCCCGCGGACGACGCGTTGTCATGAGTTGCTGCTCCTTCCTTGTCAGCAACGCGGCTCGGCGTGGTGTAACCCCTCGAGATCGACGCGATGGAGGCAAATCGGGACAGGAGCAGAGGATACAGGTCCAACGAGCCAAAATCCGCGCTGCTCGTAAGGATATCACTCGTTACAGCGCGCCTCGTTAGGCGGGGCAGTGACGCGGTGAGTGCCTTCATGGCGACGGAATCTAGGCGAGAGACACACTAACAACCAGCGGAACGGCAAGCTACTAGTACATACTAAGCGGCACGCATCTACTGAAGGGACAGCGAGGAGGAGGATGTCAAACGGGCGTCGGACTGGCTATTATGTTTCACATTGAAGTTTGCGCCTAGAACGGAGCGGCTCGAATCATAATCCAGCTCGGAATGTGTGTGTGACTTGCATATCGTTCAAGTCGGTTCAGTTTGTTCCCTCACGGTTTAGCACGGTCAAATGTCGAACGACCGTAAACCGCCGAAGACCGTGGAATACCGTGTCGTATCAGTCTTAAGACCAGGGAGACATGTCAGATTCCAGTTTCCTTGTCACGAAGGCAGTGAATGGAGCTGGATGGCTGCTAATGGTTGCTGTATACGCCACGTGGCGTACATGCACTCGCTTGGATCGCTTCGCTATATTCCTCCAGTAGTTCTAAACAAGATGTATATACAAGCAATACTTTTTAGGAGAGGGACTTGTCAAATGCAGAGTTTCTTCTCAGGTGGTTGCACCAGCTTTCATAGAGACGTGTAGTTCTGGATTCAATGCAGTAGATAATTGCCTTTCATCATTTGCTATATTTGAATCACGACGCATCTATCCATACCACCCGCCATCTCTGGAGGAGATTGGCCTCCGCACATTATTCTCCTCTGGGAATACCACTTGGCTCCATCTGGAAGAGTGATGCTACCACTGGAGCTCCCCATCATACGCATGACATTATCCATGCCCCTCAACTCGCAGCTCCCTTCAACATTCACCTCAATAGCCACGTCTGGTGAGACCTGCACTGTCTTCCACAATAAAGTCTCCCAGTTGACATAACGCAACCCAACACACTCCCGCAAAACCACCTCCTGTATCGCAATAGGGCCGTTGCAGCGATCATCACCACTGCCATCACCGGTTGTTCCCACGTTACCAGCGTTCACTGCGGCTTTGCCCACACTTTCTAATCTCCTGCAGTTGGTGAGACTCAGGGACCTGAGTCCAGTCAGACAGAGGGATTCAGGGGGGAGGGATTCCACAGCATGACAAGCATGCATGTGAAGGGATGTGAGGCACGAGAGGAGACTGATGGTCGGCGGCAGGGCCTTCAGATGGCGACAATAGGTGAAGGAGAGGGCAGTAAGGCATGTGAGAGAGGGGAGGAGGGAGGGAGGGAGAGCAGTGTCAGGGCATTGGTCCAGGTGCAGTGAAAGGAGACGCGAATACGAGGAGGTGAGGGCTGCAGGAAAGAAGAATGTGGGAGCAGGGTGCATGGAAACAAGTGGCTCTGTGTCTGCCTCTGTTTGGGAGATTCGGAATCTTGTAATGCTGAATCTGGTTGGAAGCACCAGACTGCAAGGCTGCTCCGGGGAACAAAACTTGCAGTTCGCAGCCGCAATAGCACCAAATCCGACGGATCCCTTAGCTGAAGTAATGCCGGGAGTAGCAGAACCACTAGTGTGGCACCAAATGTCACACCTGGTTGCACGATTGGCTGACAGGCTCAGTGACGTCAGCTCCTGGTGGAAGAGCGATGCTAGTTTGGAAAACATGACGTCACAGCAAACGCTGAGCTTCACGGATTTGAGTCGAGGCCACCAGATGGTTGCGGTAGGTTGGGGATTGGTGGGGGAGGCTGAACCAATAGCGGCAACCTGAGCCTGGTCTGGAAAGCCGGAGTGATAATTGCAGTGAGAATTGCACCGATGATTGGAACGATCATTGAGCTGACCACAGGAGATGTCTGGAAGGATGATGTGATGTGATGACGACAGCTGCAGCTGAGTGATTGAGGATGGCAGGAAAGGTCGACAGTGTGGTGATGCATCTGAAGGATAGCCTATGCTGAGATGCTCAATTATGATGGCTGTGGTTGAATCACACTGCCGAAATCTTCCACTGGATTGATCGTGGTAATGAAGATCCAATCCCAAGACCACGCATCTGTCCGTTTGAATCTCCAGAGCTTCCAAAGAAGGCAGCTGCATTATCGAGGAGGGAACAGTGAGCGCGGACTCGCTCCACGCCACGTCAGCATGGCCACGTCGGCTCCACGCAGACGGACTACAAGCAGCCCTCGGTCCTCTAGAGATCTTCTGCTTAGCGCTGACGTGGCGGACGTTACCATCATGACCGAGTAGCAGAGACAGCCGTTTCAGCTGGGGACATCCCACGAATAGCGAATTCAACCCCCAGCTGGTAACCTCGTCATCGCCTTCGCCATAGCACATGCAGGAGAGGTCCAGGACTTGGAGAACAGGGCAGGAAGAGGCTAGGGTTTCCAGAAACGCGTCGCCAAACGCTTGGTGGAAGCTGGTAACCGTGAGTGACGTCAGCTGCCGGAAAACTCGAATGGCTTGAAGAAACGTCTTGTATGTAAGCCCATCACTTTTGGACTCGTTACTGCACTCCTCGTCGCCGTCACCTCTGTCAGAAATGGAGGCAGGCCCGAATATTTCACCACTCGTGCAGTCAACCCTCACGTGCAGAACGCTTCGCGCAACGGCGTCAGCCCAGGCTTTGCTGACTGTTGCGCACCGGACGAGATCGCGCACCCTCGAGATCCGCTCGAGCGCAAGTTCTACGGCAAGCTCGCTACAAGAACCGGGAGGAGCGTTTGACATGATGCTGCGAAGATACGACTTTTGCGGAGCCTCGAGAATGTCCAACATGCTGCTGCGTCGTGACGCCACCGCACTGCTCTTTTCTCAGAGAAGCTTCTCACTCAAGAGCTCTTTGAATGTCTGCTTGGAAGAGACTAGCGGAGAGTTGCGAGAATCTCACTGTCATCCACGTGAGAAAGCTTCGCTCGAAACAGCGAATAATATCCAACTTATGCTCGAGGAGGTACCAAGTGGGCTACTGAATGAGAGCAGGCTTCCGCACTCGAGTACGCCTGTGAGCGCAAAACAGTCTCATATGCTTCTGTATACGGAAACCATTCAAGCCAGAAGCGCTATCACACACGGGCTCAAGATTCCGCTGTGGTGTTTGTTTCCGTCATGACGGAATGGTGGTGAAAAAAACCCGCGTCGCATGATGGAATCTCGCGGCAGCCTGAGAGGCTGCGCATGCTCCGACGAGGCATGGACGAGGTTTGCGGAAGGATTCTGGACAGACGAGGGACTTCCCTTTTGCGTCCTGGCGCGTGTCTTCGGTTCCTCGCATCGCACCAGGCCGCCATGTCTTCGAGGAACGCTAGGTTGTGAGCCTTAGTGGGCATAATAATGCGGTCCGACGAGGTCTTCCGCAGCAAGAGCGGTATTGGTTCTGAGCGAGAAATACACTTGCACGGCACATTGACGGACATCTGACGGATAGGGCGTTTGATGCACTGGCCATGTCGACTGGGTTCCAGTTTCCGTCAACATTTGGACTTGGCCCGATTCATATCTGGGACACGTCGTATTTGCTAACGAGTTGGCAACCTGGTGTTGTACGCGCCTGAAGGCACCCACTCATCAAATATTAAGAGTAGCGACTATGAAATATAATATATATCCTTTACTAGCAAGCCAGCTATTCAATACATATGAAACTAAACCGGTACTAGTGCAAATGGGAAAGCTAAAAAGCTGCTTAGCAAGCCCGACAACACTACAGATGGAAGAGCTAAGATCCAATATAACGAATGTCAGAGCCACGTTCCTGCATTATAGGCACAAAAGAGACATGAGAGAAGGCATAGTAGGACCAACATCAAGTAAAAAAAAAACCCTTTGCATAAATGGGACTCACGATGATAGGGTGGATGTTACATCCGAATGTCGCTACCACTGGTGCTGCTGCTCACCCTGCTTTCTTCCACATATTTATGTGGTGGACCAACCACGCTGCTACAATCCCTTGCACCTCCACCACCATCAGCACTATCCTTTTCCATGGGTTCAGTTGTCGTCTTACTGGTCGTGCAGGTACTAGCGGTGGTTGCGCTGCTTCGGATGCTGCTGCTGGTAACCAGGCCATCATCAACCATACTGTACGTGAATGCACCTTCGCTCTCAGCCTTCCTTGCAGCATCAGTAGCACCAGTAGAAGCACTAGCAGCAGCTGCAGCTGAGGAGGGACGAGAAGACACAATCGAGCCAATGGAGTTGGCAGAGCAGACAGAGACAGACGATGCCGCCCGCTTACCCGCAGCAGGGGACAAAGCCCGCCTGCCAGGAGAACCACCAGACTTTGATCTCACAGGAGGGACAGGTGTTGACTGCCCAAATGCACACCTCCGGGGCGACGTGGCAGCTTTCGTACCGCCATGAGATTTCTGAGACACCTCGGTGGGTTTTCGAGGCGACGTGGCAGTTTGTCCAGCAGCAACTGGTGCAATGGGTGCTGGTGCTGGCCTTCCTATTATGCCTCTGTTCAGAGGCGCTGGCTTTCGTGGTGGCACTAGGGGCACTGCGTGTTTCTGAGGAGCTTTAAACTGCTGCTTCCCTGTTGAACCCGAGACTGACTGGGTTGCGGTGGAGGCAGGGAGGGAGTTCCTGCTGCTGTCGCTCCGGATGCTGCTGCAACTAGTGGCGGCAGCGGCAGTGGTGCCGCAACTGGTGGTGGTGCCGGCTGCAGTGGTGCTGCAGCTAGTGCTGGCGTTGTTGATGTTGCTGCTGGCAGTATTGTTGACCGCGCCGCCACTCTCCTTTGGCGAGGGGAGGGACATGCTCTTATTGAGCGCCACTGTGAGCGAGCGAGCCACTTTCCTCCGTGCGTTCAGCTGCCCCAGGGGGGATTTCGGGCGGGGACCAGTGGGAGGGGAGGGAACACGGGGCCTTCCTCCTCCTGGCGAGCTCCCTCCTTCTACTGCTCCTCCTAATGCTATCCCTCCCTTTAGAGGACTCCCTCCCTCTGATGCACTTCCTCCCTCTAGTTCACTCCCACTGTAAGACCCGTCCTCTTCCCCAAGCCCATCTCCAGGCCTGGAATCCTCTTCTTGGCCCATAGTAGCTTCTCCACTGTTCTCTTTCCCTCGCCGCCCACTCCGCCCCCCTGCTTCTCCTGCTCCTCCTCCTGCTCCTCCTCCTGCTCCTCCTCCTGCTCCTCCTCCTGCTCCTCCTCCTGCTCCGGCTCCCACTGCTCCTCCTCCTGCTCCTGCTCTTGCTCCGGCACCGGTCACTGCAGCACCTCTCCCTCCTCGTCCACACAAACTGGGCTTTGGCCCTGCAGGGGGGGATGGCGTTCGGGGTAAATTCCCCTTCGATTTTCCCTCCTCCACCTTAACCACCCCACTTTTCACCACTCTCTCTCCAGGCCCGGTTGGTACTATTTCCATCTTTCCTCCACCCCCTACCTCATCCTTCCATTTTCCTCCCTCCGCTCCTCCCACCCTTTCACACACCACATCCACTCTCTCCTCTTTCTCCACGACACTCCCCTCCCAAAAAACCCTCCCCTCGCCAACAACACTCTCTTCTCCCATCACACTCCCCTCCCCCACCACACTCCCCTCCCCTATCACACTCCCTTCCTTCTCCCACTCCTCTGCACCTGTCCTCGCCTGTCCCCCCCCATCCTCCTCATCCCCATCACTCCCACACACCTCCAAACCCCCGACCTCATACCCCCTCCTCCCCATCCCCCCCCACACCCTCCCTGGGGACCTTCGGGGGGAAAGCGCCACGAGGAGGGCGGAGGAGGCGGAGGGGGAGGGGGAGCGCGGGCGGACGGGGGGAGGGGCGGGGGAAGGGGGTCCAGGGGCGGCGTTGGGCGCAGGGGAGGGGCTGTCAGAAAGGGGTGATTTGGCGGAAGGGGAAGGGGTGGAGGAGGGTTCAAAGGGGTTGGGAGCGGTGCGAGGCTTGCGGTAGGAGCCTGGGAGTTGACAGACCTTTGATTGCTGACCAGCACTGTCAGTTCCTCCCTTAGCGAGATTTCCAGCTCCAAACGCGCCCTGATTCGTCTGAGTAACAGGGTTACCACCTCTACTGCTGCCCTTGCTGTTGCTGCTATTGCTTCTCTCCAAACTCCCACCACCACCACCATCGCCCTTCCCTCCTCTTGCCTCCTCCTTCCCACCACTGCTTTCGACTGAAACACAGCTGGTACCACTCCTGACCGCAGTACCACCAGTGATACCCCTAGCAGCCATAGCTGCCTTTGCTGCTACCCGTGCTGCTGCTCCCGCTGCCGCCCCTCCCGCCGCCTTGTTCCGGGGAGAGCTGTTTCGAGGGGTGACAGGGGGGCATGGCACTAGCAGCTTCGGAACCCCACTGCTGTCACTGCTGTCACTCCTTCTGCTGCCATCGCCGCCACCGCCACCGCCGCTGCTGCTATTGCCACTTGGGCTGAAGGCATTTCTCACCTCTCCATCTGCCGTCCCTCCCTCCCCTTCCTTCTCTTGACGACCAGCAACCTGCCCGGCCACGGCAGCCACCGCAGCAGCATCAGGACGCCCCTGCTCCGGACCAACTCGTTGACCCAAGACCGGTGTCTGGTCCGGTGACTCACGATCTGAATCAGCAGTTTTAGAAGCGGGCACCCAGCATATGCGCTGCGATAGACCCAGGGGTGCAGTCCCCACCCGCCCAGGCGAACCAGCCCTCTGATGGTTACCACCTTTCGTCTGGTTACATGCCCCTGTCTGGTTACCACTGGGCGATTCTCCCATGGCGTGATCGTCTTCCCTTGCTTGGTTTCCACCCTCCTCTGGCTCATCCCCCTCTGCACCCACCGCTCTGAACCGCACTCGCTTCTTCCCTGCACTGCCCGGCCCCTGCTGCCCCTCATTCATCGCCCTGCCCTCTCCTTCCCTTTGAGTCGACTCCAAAGTCCTTTCGTCTTCCCTTGCACTGCCCGCCCCCTGCTGCCCCTCACTCGTCGCCCTGCTCTCTCCTTCCCTGTGAGTCGACTCTGAAGTGCTCTCGTCTTTCCCTTCACCGCTCTCCACACCTGCAACTGCAGGAATCTTAGGATCGGCTGAAACTGCGATTGTGACTATAGAGGAAGCGCCAATAGAAGTGGGAGCAGTGACAGTAGCACAGGAGAGGGCGGGGGAAGTGGCAGGAGCAGGGCAAGGGGCAGGAGGAGGGGCAGGGACAAAGGCCAGGGCAGGGGCAGAAGGAGGGGCAGGAGTAGGGGCAACTGTAGGGGCAGGGGCAGGGGCAGGGGCAGGGGCAGGGGCAGGGGCAGGGGAAGGGGCGGCGGAAGGGACAGGGGGAGGGGACTGGGAAGGGCGGGACACAGGAGAGGGGGAGGATGGGGACGCAGGGTATGCAGGCCAGAGGGACGGTGGTAGAGTCTTGCTGCTGACGTTTGCACTAGCACCCGAAACCTGCCCAGAGACGACCTGCCCAGATACGACCTGCCCAGATATGACCTGCCCAGATACGACCTGCCCAGATACGACCTGCCCAGATACCACCTGCCCAGGTAGCACCTGCCCCAGTTGCGCCTGCCACGTATGCTCCTCCTCGGCCTCTGCTGCAGCTGCTGCTGCGAACGGATTCGTGTTGACGATTCCAGGAGTGTCAATGTGAGGTAGCATAACAGGGTAACCAGCAACTTCGCTTTCCACTTCGCCAAAGCAGCCAGCACCGTATCCCCCACTGCTGCCCTTGCCAGGCTCGTCTCCAAACGAGTCGCTGCTGCACAGGAACGGGTTGGTGCTTGTGAAGGGGACGGAGGGCATTTCAGCAAACGGATTAGCACAACTACCCTGGTTACCACCACTAATCTGGTTACCGTTACCACAATCCCTCTGGTTGCTGGTAACCACAGTACTAAGCTTTTCAACCACTGATTCCGCCTGGATCCTCGTTTGTGTCTGCACGTGGGCTTGCTTGGCTCTAGCAAGTGGGGAGGAGGCGCGGAGGGGGAGGAAGGTCACACTGCTGCTCACGCCCGTGCCCTTCCGCTGCTCCTCTGCTGCCGTCTGCTTCAGTGCCGCCAGCAGCACCGATGCTGCTGCTGCTCCTCCTGCTGCTGCCGTCCCCGCTGCTGCTGCTGCTGCAGCAGCTGAGGATTCTCCTGCTGCTGGGGCTGTTGCTGCTGCTGCTGCTGCAACTGCTGCCGCTGCTGCAGCAGCAGAGGATTCTCCAGTTGATGCTGCTGCTGCAACTGCTCGTGGTGGTGAGGTTCCCTCCACTGCTGCTGCAACAGGCATGCTCGTTGCCTCCTCTTCTCCCTCCTTCCCCACCCCCTCCTCCTGATTCTCCGAGAAAAGAGCTGATTTTGGAGTCGACTCGAAAAACACACTCCCTTCCTCCTCACTTCCCCCCACGCTCCCTCCTCCTCTGCTCTCCCAACCAATAGAATCGCTTCCTGTAGCTCCTCCTGCGCGATTCCGCCCCCCGGTTCCGCCCACTCCCCTGCCAGACGCGCCAGCGCCTGCTGCGCGCGCGGCTGCAGCAGCAGCTGCTGCGCGTGCGCCAGCGGCGGACGCGCGCATGGGGAGCCCAGGCGCGGGGCTGTGCGCGGCGGAGGACGCGCGGGAGGGGGAACCGCGGGAGGGGGAACCGCGCAGATGCACCCACTGCGCAAACGACACACACGAGTCGTCTCGTGCTGGGGATGAGGGTGCCGATTGTCTTGTTCCCTTTGCAGTATCTCCCTGCCCTTTGCCTCTGCTGCCTCCCCCTCTGTTGCCACTCCCCCCGTTAATATCACCCCCTTCTGTATCCTCTCCGCCTGACACCACTAAGCCTATCCGCCGCTGCTGCAGCTGCCACTGCCGCTGCCACTCCTGCTGCTGTCTCTCCCTCAACTCCTCCTCCTCTTCCTCCTCCTCTTCCTCCTCCTCTTTCTCCTCCTCTCCCTTCTCGCCCTCCTCCTCTCCAATCAAGCCTCTGGTTGGTAGAGCCTTGGTTTCAAAGGCGTTTCCAGCAGTCCTGGCAGTTACACCGTCAACGCTCCCCTCGTCGTCCTCCTCCGCCTGATTGCAAGTCACGTCAAAGTGAAACCCTTCTGAACCCATTCCCACCACATCACTTCTCTGCCCTCCCTCACTCTCCTCCTCCCCCTCATCTACCCCTCTCCCATCCGCTTTCCTCTCCCCCTTCCCCTCCACCTCCTCCTCTTCCCTCTCTCTCGCGCTCTCTCCTCCTTCCTTCTCCCCATCTCCCCCTTCACCTTGGCCGGCAGAGTAACACCTTTCACCTGCTTTATCCGGGACTGCACCCCTGGTGGTGGTATCCTCCATCTCCGTTTCATGCCCATCCTCCTCCTCCTCCTCCTCATCCTCCTCCTCCTCATCCTCCTCCTCCTCCTCCTCCTCCTCCTCATCCTCCTCCTCCTCCTCCTCCTCCTCCTCCTCCTCATCCTCCTCCTCCTCCTCATCCTCCTGCTCCTCCTCCTCCTCCTTATCCTCCTGCTCCTCCTCCTCCTCCTCCTCCTCCTCCTCCTCCTCCCCTATTTCTTCTCCCTCATCTTTCTCCTCTTTCTCATCGTCCTCCCTCTCTTCCTGCCCTTTCTCCTCCCCTTCCTTTTTCTCCTTCTCCACCTCCTCCTCCTCCTCCTCCCCAACCAGCACAGCCCCCCATTCAGCAACCCTCTGTTCCACCTCATCATCACCTAATCCTTCCACGTCAGCATCCTCCACGTCATTCCCATCCTCATGCACCTCGGTCTCGTGCAGCCACGTGTCCAAAGTAGCTCTTGAAGCAGAGTTCGCGGCAGAGAAGGAATCATCACCAGCACCACCAACATCACCAGTACCACCACCACCGCCACCACCACCGCCACCACCACCAACGACGACAGCACCACTACCAGAACCTACCCATCCAACCCCCCCTCCCCGTGCATCGCCACCACCGCCGCCGCCGCCGCCGCCGCCGCCGCCGCCGCCCCTCGCCTCACTACCATGATCCCGCCCTTTAATCTCCTCCGCAGCCCGCCCCTTCGCTTCCTCGCTGCTGCCTTGCTGCTCCTCCTTCCCCTTGCGCCGCTTAGAGTTTCCCTTTCCGCCTAACTTCGCCTTACCCCACGACAGCCACTTCAGCAGCCCCCCACCATTACCACTACCGCGACCCCCACCACCACTGTTACCACCACCACCGCCATTACTCCCACCCTGCCCACCTTCCTCATTACGCGTGCCTCCCTCACCCTCACCACCTGCCGCTACAGCGGTTTCAATTGCTTGCTGTGTCTTGGCAGGGGTACCACCCCCAGGGTCTGACACCGTTCGTGTTAGTACCTTCTGGGGTAGGGGCACATGCGGACGAATGGGTCCTGTTGCACCGTCGTGCGTCGTGCACGCAGGCACGGCCACCCTTGCAGCTCCAGGTGTTTCCTCAGGCGTTTCCTCAGGCGTTTCTTCAGGTGTTTTGTCAGGTGCTGCTGCGACGCTCTGCTCCACGAGCGCGTTGTACTCCGCAATGGCCGCCGCAGCAGCCGCCGCGAGAGAGGACGAAGCAGCCGAAGCCGACGGGGTCGCAGATTTGCCGGTAGCAGAGGCGGGAGCAAGGTGAAGCTGTTCATCTGTCCTCCTTCCCCCCAGTGGACGCACGAGTCTCGCAGACTCAGCATCCGAACTCGCAGCAGCTCTCGCCCTGCTGCCCGCACTGGAGAACGCACTGGTGCTGGTGCTAGAAATAGCAGGGTTACTAAAAATAGGCACGGTCATATTTGTGTATGGGCCAGCGCTGCTACTAGCGGAAACAGTAGCACTGGGATTATGTGTATTGATCTGGCTAGTGGTGGTGGTAACCGGCATGGGGCCGGTGGTTGCGGTTACCACCGAAGCAGACGAGGTTCGGTGCCAGCGCACGCCAAGGCCGCGCCGCAGCGGCAGCATAGGCACTTCTGGAGACCCGAGCCACGAGCGCAGCCTCGGCGAGCCCAAGCCTCGGCGGTGAGGCTCCGGATTCGCGGAAGCAGGAGGAGAAGCAGCATCAGCCACAGCAGGAACAGTCGCAGTAGCAGACTTGTTTTGATACATCTGCTCCACCCCGCGACCTTCATCACCACCAGCAGTACCACCCGCAGCAGTACCACCCGCAGCAGCAGCAGCAGGATCATCGTACCTCCTTCCTCTCCGCGGCGACACCAGCCCGCGAACTCTGCTGAGCCCTCGCGACCACGGCGACGGCGACCGTCCCTGCGACTGCTTTTGAGTCGCCTCGAATGAAGGCGACAAGGGCGACGGCGGCCGTCCGTGCGTCATCTCCTCCCACTCTTCGCAACTAGAGCCCACCCCGCCCCCACCGCTGCCACCGCCACCACCGCCGCCGCCGCCGCTTCCGCTCGTGTTTCGGCCGCGGAAGCGCAAGGGGGAAGCATTGGCGTGGCCTCTGGAGAAGAAATTAAAGCCGAGGCGCGGCGACAAGCGACTGGCCGCGGCGCTGGAGGCTGTGGGGGTGCCGGGAGTAGCAGCATGCGGGAACTGACGGGTCGCGTTATGAGGCGCGTCGCCGAGTGAGGCGGGCGGATGGAAGGAGTCGGAGGAGGAGGATCGCACGATCCGCGGGCGGGCTGGGTTCGCCGCTGGATTCGCCAGCGAATTTTGCGCAGAACTAGCCGTTGGATTCCATGCCGCTGAACTAGCCGTTGGATTCGCAGACGCCGAGGCTGCGGGGTCCGCGCTTCCATGCGGATCGCCTCCCGGGTTGCTCGTTACCTGAGAAGGCACCTGAAGAGGCAACTGTTGGGCAACCGGAAGAGGAATTTGCGAAGCTTCGCAGAATGCTGCGTTCACATCGGCAGGAACATCGGCACGGGAATAAGCTGCCATTGGCTGCGGGTTTTCCGGCGGCAGATGCGGCGGTTGCAGACCGTCTAGAGCACACTCTGTCTGCGGTGTCGGCGAAACGGTCCGGTTCATCGGATTCAGGACGGTCAGTGAGGCGTCTTTCAGTTGAGAGAGTTCATTGAGATTAGGAGCTGACGTGTCGAGAGGGCTAGGTGGGGTATTAGGGACAGGAGGTGCTACGGAGAGGTGCGGAAGTATGGGAGAGGACGAGGGTGAAGGGGAGAGGGAAGGAGAGGGGGATGTGGTGAACGCAAGCGACGGCGAGTCTTCGCATACGATCAGCGGGGCTAGGTTCAGCGGTCGATGCGACGCCGGCGGCGTCGCCGGGATATCAGCGATGTCGCCAACACCATCGCCTGCGACGGCACGTGCGACTTCAGCGACGGTCTCCACCACTTCGCCGACACATCTCCCCGCTGCAATCCCCTCCGTTTTCCCGCTAAGAGCCTTCCCTGATTTTCCTGCTGGCTGCGATAACTGCCTCTGCGGATCCACCCCTGCCACGTCAGCCTGCTCCGTGGCAAATCTACTACCAGAGCCCATCCCTGCGTTGATCCCTATTCCGCTTCCTTGAGATTCTACAACCTGAGATTCCTGAAACGGCTGAACGTAGGCTGATCCATTCATCTCCTGAAGAATACATCCCCCCTCGCTTGCTCCACGCCTCCCCTCTTCTCCGACCAGACGGTTTTCAGTCTGTTTCCGTCCGTTTTCTCGATGGCCGTCCCGGTCTTCGCTCACACAGTTCCGTCGATTCTCGTTCGTCTGATGGGTCTTCCCGTTCCCACCCGCGAAAGCAGAACCCCGGTTCAAAGGACGATCGGAAACTTTTGATGCTGCTGCTGCTGCTGGTGCAGCTGACCTGTTGCCGTTCCGCTCGCCGTTCTTCCCGCCGTTGCTGTTCTCCTTCTCAGCTCCGTTCCTCGTTTCCCCACGTGAGCTTCTACCACTGCCAGTCGAAAGGATCCCCTTTCTAGGGCTTGCTGCACCGCCGCGCGAATCTTTCCGAGGGCTAATAGAGGAACTGAGAGGTCGCGGTTTCAATACTGGCGACTTCCTTATCTGCTTGCTGGTGGAATTCGTCATTGCTGCTGATCGCCTAAACGAGGAGGTATTGTTCAACAATATCGATTTTGTGACATATTCATCGATGAATCACGGCTAGCGCTGCGTCGTGGGCCTTGACTGATAATGGGATATTCCAGGACGCTGACTTGCTTGAATTTCCAATAGAGCCTAGTATTTCTATCACATGTCCCGCGTTGTTATTTTCAGACACAATGTGCTTTCAAGGACAGCCCTGCGTCCTACTCGAACCAGAAACACGCAGACTCTAGAATTGGAAAATCGTGGGAACTCGAAGTAGTGATCAGGAAATGAGTTCCATCCGTGGTGTGTGACAGGGTGCTGCACATGTGCAGGCTAGAAGGGTGTTTGAGCTCGAGTCGGCCAATTTGCTGCGAGTTCCCCAAGGTCTGACAGAGAATTCCCCTCGAGACTGTCATTGCTGGTTCGGTTCAAGTTTGACGGGCCTTGATTGAGCCGCAAGCAGGGCGAGGAACAACCCCATGTAGCGAAAGGTTTGGCTTGGGGGAGCAGGCAAGGTGCGGTGTTGCTGGGTGCTTCTTTTGGGAAAACGGCGAAAGGCTGGAACCGCGCGCCAGACAGTAGTAACTTCGAGTGTCTCCCGCCAAAGTTTGAATTCGGTTGTCAGAGTCAGTGGGATGGCGCGAGCACCCACAAGAGCATCAGCTATACAAAGACAGTGAGCACACGCATGTCCCCTTCAATTGAAGCTGTACTAAATATATATTCTCTATATTCTATGTTGAATCACCTGTAAAAATATGTGCACCTGTACAAACGTCATCCTTTAGCCAAATAAACCATATAAAAAATCATAGATATTATATATAGTCAATTTTAGTGTATATATGCTTGGTACCCGATGTCATGTGAAACCTATCACGTATGTCACTTGTACAAGTCATTTACAAATGTGCTGTTTTGTACGATTAGCTTGTGTTCGTACATGGTTCTGCCAACCTTGTCATGGGGTCAAACCGAGTTGCATGGCTTCTTAGAAGCCAAGCTCCGGGTTCTACGAACGTCGCGAGCTCCACTGCCAACTGTGCGAATCTGTTCGAATTTCGTGCTGCCGCTCAATTCTTCACGTGCATGTGACCGCATCCGACGTATGAAATGCACATGAGTGACGGTGTTCAACGTATGCCACCAATCACGTTGATCGGGAACCACGCGTTGATTGCTGACCCACAGCTTCCAGCTTTGAACCTACCGTTCTGCCAGTCAGACGAATCATTGACACGCTTTGCAGTTCCAGCTTTCCAAGGAATGCTAGCTGGCCCATGAACAGAAAAACCTACCACCCGCATGGGGGTTTCTTTCGGTTTGGGACCAGGGTTCCTTTTCATCGTGAGACACTCTTGCATTTGGCCAGGTGGCAGATGGGAAGACTCTGCTAAATAAAGGGTATTATTTCGTACGAGAATCATATTTCTATCCAGTGAGACCAGACAATTTGGCACAATTGTCCCAATCGACGGAGAATCGATTATGAGAATTTCACGCTGAGAACGCAACTGGAAGTCCAGTCTGGTAATTTCGCTAAAGATTTCCAGAACGTAGACTGAAACCAACAAAACTGGTCACAGCTGCGTGGAAATCAACCTGGACGGCATTTTAGGTCGCAGTGGGATAGGACAGGGCTGTTCATAAACAGCTTTCCACGAGATAATCCAGGTAAACGTCCCCGAAGAAAGACAGCCAGTTTGAATTGAAACCCTAAAGCAGCTTCTCCTCCTGGCCCACCTAGCCAAGCCTCACTCCAGCCGTAACAGCACCACCGACCGCACCACTTTTATCCCGTCGCACAGCCTCCCTAGCAATCAGTCTCCTGGCTCAACAATAATGCACCATAGCTGCTAATAGTGGGAAACGCTGAAGTTCAGTCCACACCTAGCACCACCACCATCTCCGCCTCCCTTAGTCTCCGCTCAGCCTTAACTTCCAACAAATATGGCGGTCATTGTGCAATCCATGTCACCGTCCTTGACCAACGTACAGTCAGTCGCCCAGCCGTGCCTTCAATCGTTCCAGCAACGGCTTCACCCGTGCCGCGGGCTCGCAACGAGGACCAGTACCGACAGCTCTCTCCTTCAGACCGATAGTTTTTCAATAGTCGAGTCAACTGGTTTTGGCTGTAGTAGTCCTGCAGAGAGCGCCGCCGTACAAAGTGCTTTAGCTGATGTCAGCGCGGGATTGTTAGCCGGTCAGGTTCCCGAAATTACCCCGGACGGTTCTGGCGGCACTTACATGCTTCGCGATGTGACCGGCGAATCGCGCATTGCGGTTTTCAAGCCGATGGATGAGGAGCCGTTGGCTTGGAATTGCCCTCGAGGTATGCCGCCGAGTTTAACGGGCGAAGGACTGAAGCGTGGAACTCGCGTTGGCGAAGGCGCGTTTCGCGAAGTCGCAGCGTATCTTCTGGACCAACCTCTTCGCGAAGGCGATGCAGAGGGTTTCGCAGGAGTGCCGCGAACCGCGTTGGTTACATGCGACATCAAATTCTTCGCGTCTTCATTGGGCTCTCCAGTCTCAATTCTAGGCGGCCTGTCTTCTGCTGAGTTCGGTTCAAGGAAGATTGGTTCGCTGCAGCACTTTGTCCCCGCTATAAGCAATTGTGAGGATATGGGCCCGGCTCGGTTCGCTGCTTCGGAGGTTCACAAGATTGCTACTCTGGACATGCGGCTGGCGAATACGGATAGAAACGGCGCCAACATTATGGTGAAAAGCGACGGCTCAGATTTGAAGCTCATCCCAATCGACCATGGATATTGCCTTCCGGAGACGTTGGAAGACTGTACATTCGAGTGGTTGTACTGGCCTCAAGCGAAGCAGCCTCTTTGCGAGGATGTCAGGGAATATATCGCGAAGCTTGACGCCGAAGCTGACCTGGCGCTTCTACAGGCGGGTGGGTGGGCCGTGAACGGCGCATGCGCACGCGTGTTTCGCGCGGCAACGCTCCTGCTCAAGAGAGGCTCGGCTGCAAATCGAACAATATTTGATATTGGCTCACTGATGGTTCGCGACGATCCCGATGTTCCATCCGCGTTAGAAGTCATGCTGGCACGTGCAGAAGAGAAGGCGCTGAGTGGAGCAGCAGGGGGGGATGCTATTAACTGTCTGGGTGAAATTCTCGAGGTCTACTTTGAGTCTACTGCCAAATAGAGACATTAATTGCTGCAATACTGGTCTACATGCTCCCTCAAGGGACAAGCCATCAGCAACAGGGCCGACATAGGCTCTGCATATACTGTAACTTTTATGGGTTGTGTTCATAATGTGCATTTGTGCAATAATGGTTCAACCAGGGTACTACCAACCACACCGTACATCCTGTATCACCTAAACATGTGAGCAGAGTTTGAGAGAGCAATTTTGCCGAATTCTAACATTGTAGGCTGGTTTTAGCCTGCTGCTGCACAATTCAACCTCATAAGATCCATTCTTTTCGTTCAAGCATTGGTCACGAGGGAGAATTGAGTTCCAAGACTAGGGCCTTGTTCTGTGGCGCTAACTCAGAGTTAGCTAACTCTGAGTTACCGAGCCGTGTAGGTTTGGGTGAGTACACCGACAATTAATCATTACGCTCGTGTGAGTGTTGGAGTTGTAACTCACCTTGGTGTTCTGTGGCCTCGTAACTCAGAGTTAAGGAAGTTCCAGGGGCGTTCTCGAAGTTGTTCTGGTTAAACTTTTAGTCTCAACCCGAAGTGCCGCCCCTTCCGAAAAAAACTGCGCGAAAGGGTGACCATGAGGCAAAATAATTCAACTTCACGCAGCACGGCATGGGGACTAGTTGGAAAGAACCAAATGTCGTAGGGTTACTTCTGGCGGGCTTTCCACCGATTGCGTTCCACATTTCGTAAGCCGGACCAGCTACCTAGCCTCGGACCCCGCTTCGGGCCAGCCGTGGAACCTCCAAACCCACCCACTTGCTCTGTTTTTTGGCAGTTGTCGTTGAATGGAATGCTGCTTCTTTTTGCCAGAATCTTGACAATCAAATTTGGACACTGACGGGTCGCTATGGAAATAGGAAGGGGCTGTGTGAAACCCTAGCTGCTACTTCTGCTGCTGACCCACCTAGCGAAGCCTCAGGGCGGGTCAAAGAGTACGTCCGATTGCGGTTCATAAAGGTTAAGGCTTGATCCAGAGCGGTCTGCTTAAAATACAAGATGGTTGGGTAGGGTTTTCTGCGAATACGTGCAAAGTTTGACCCGCCCTCAACAGCACCCCACCACCAACGTGCCCAGTCTCTTGGCTCAGCACACCACAGCTGGTTGTAAAACGCTGTAAGGCAGTCCATTCCACAGCACCACCGCCACCTCCATCCTCCCTTTGCCGGCCGTGGCATCATATCATCATCGTTACCCGCTAGGCCTTAACTTCCGACGAAAATGGCGGCCATTGTCCAGTCCATGACTCCGTCGTTGGCGGTCATTGTCCAGTCCATCTCTCCGTCGTTGACCACTGTGCAGTCAGTCGCCCAGCCGTGCTTCCCGGTAGATAACGCTGGCAAAAATAACCTTCGGTTGTTTGAGCGACGGCTTCATTCGTGCCACGGCCTCGCAACTAGGACTAGTACCGATAGCACTCTTTTAAAGACCGATAGCTTTCCAGTAGTCGAGTCAACTGGTTTTGGCTGTAGTAGCCCTGCAGGGAGTGCTGCTGTACAAAGAACCTTAGCTGACGTCAGCGCGGGATTATTAGCCGGCCAGGCTCCTGAAATTACCCCGGACGGTTCTGGAGGTACTTACATGCTTCGCGATGCGACCGGCGAATCGCGCATTGCGGTTTTTAAGCTGATGGATGAGGAGCCGTTGGCTTGGAATTGCCCTCGAGGTATGCCGCCGAGTTTAACGGGCGAAGGACTGAAGCGTGGAACTCGCGTTGGCGAAGGCGCGTTTCGCGAAGTCGCAGCGTATCTTCTGGACCACCCACTTCGCGAAGGCGATGCGGAGGGTTTCGCAGGAGTGCCTCGAACCTCGTTGGTTACTTGCGACGTCAAATATTTCGCGTCTTCATTGGGTTCTCCAGTTTCAATCTTAGGCGGCCTGTCTTCTGCTGAGCCCGGTATAAGGAAGATTGGTTCGTTGCAGCAGTTTGTCCCCGCTATGAGCAATTGCGAGGATATGGGCCCGGCTCGGTTCGCTGCTTCGGAGGTTCACAAAATCGCGGTTTTGGATATGCGGTTGGCGAACGCGGATAGGAACGGCGCCAACATCTTGGTGAAGCGTGACGGCACAGATCTGAAGCTGATTCCGATCGATCACGGATACTGCCTTCCGGAAACGTTGGAAGACTGTACATTTGAATGGTTGTACTGGCCTCAAGCGAAGCAACCTCTAAGCGAGGAAGTCAGGGAATACATCGCGAGACTTGACGCCGAAGCTGATTTGTCGTTGCTGCATGCAAATGGCTGGGCCGTAAAAGACGCGTGCGCGCGCGTGTTTCGCGCGGCGACGCTCCTGCTCAAGAAAGGGTCGGCCGCAAATATAACTGTTTTCGAGATTGGCTCCCTGATGGTTCGCGACGATCCCGAGGTTCCATCCGCTTTAGAAGACATGTTGGCACGTGCGGAAGAGAAGGCGCTGAGTGGAGGAGCAGGAGGTGATATTATGAAATGTCTGGGTGAAATTATTGACCTCTACTTGGGAGTCTAGGGTCAAATAGTGCCCTACATGCCCTCTCAAGGGAGAAGCCATCAGCAACACGACCGCCATGAGCTCTGTATATGCTTTGTCCCCTATGAATTGCGTGTTTATAATGTGCATTTGTGCAATGCCGTTTTAGAAGGTACTACAACCGTATCTCATCACAATTTGAACCTGAGGAAACTGAGCTGGAAGTAAATTCAACCAGTTACTGTGTTGACAACTTTAGGCACATCTCTTTGGGCGTTCAGCACAAGAGTCTCTCTTTGGCACTAGTGGTATGTAACCAACCACCCCTCAGGCTATTGCTGCACAAATCAGCTTCCACCACAAGATCTAGGGCACTGTACAAATTGATGCTTGAAAAAGCTGGAACTACTTCAAAATCAACACCAGACAACAAGATGAAGCCTCCTCACTTCCTTCCACCATGCTTCTGTTTCTGTAACTGACAGTCAACCAACCATCAACCGTCACTCTAGAAATCTGCTGGCAGGGAAGCATCTGCCAGCCAGCCTATTCTGTCAACCATCCAGTCAACACAAGTCAACAAGAGTCAACCATACGCCATGAACCATGACCACTACACGTCTGCTGGAAGTGCCACGTCCTGCCAGCTGGCACATCTGCTACCTGAGACAGTCAACACAGGTCAACAAGAGTCAAGCTCTATGCATCTGCTGGCAGAGGAACACCCTGCCAGCCATTCAGTCAATTCAAGTCAACGAGAGTCAAACCCTACACATCTGCTGGCAGAGGCACGTCCTCCCAACCCATTCAACACAAGTCAACACTACAGGTCTGCCGGCAGAGGCACGTCCTGCCAGCCAGCACAAGCCACAACCGCCTCAGGGGTGCACTGCTTCCAAAGCGACCAATCACAGCTGTACACGTGGCCAGGGTCAAACACCCCCTTGCTGCCCTGCTCCTTGCTCTGCGCACCGTTCAGAAAAAAGTCGCCTTGAGACTTGAGGCTGCCACTCTCAGGGGCTGGCCTGTCAGGCGCCTGGTAAGTGAGTGCGTGAGTGAGTGAGTGAGTGAGTGAGTGAGTGAGGGAGGGAGGGAGGGAGGGAGGGAGGGGGGGGGGGAGGGAGGGAGGGAGGGAGGGAGGGAGGGAGGGAGGGAGGGAGGGAGGGAGGGAGGGAGGGAGGGAGCGAGGGAGAGAGGGAGGGAGGGAGGGAGGGAGGGAGGGAGGGAGGGAGGGAGGGAGGGAGGGAGGGAGGGAGGGAGGGAGGGAGGGAGGGAGGGAGGGAGGGAGGGAGGGAGCGAGGGAGGGAGGGAGCGAGGGAGGGAGGGAGGGAGGGGGGGGAGGGGGGGGAGGGGGGGAGGGGGGGGGGGAGGGGGGGGAGGGGGGGAGGGGGGGGGTGAGGGGGGAAGGGGGGGGGGGGGGAGGGGGGGAGGGAGGGAGGGGGGGAGGGAGGAAGGGAGGGAGGGAGGGAGGGAGGTAGGGAGGGAGGGAGAGAGGGAGGGAGGGAGGGAGGGAGGGAGGGAGGGAGGGAGGGAGGGAGGGAGGGAGGGAGGGAGGGAGGGAGGGAGGGAGAAGAGGATAGGGGGAAAACAAGACAATGAGTCACTTCCGACGGCATGCTGGCACCGGAATGAACTGGCCTGTCAGTGGCCTGGTGAAATAAATGTGAGAGAAATGTGAGAGAAATGTTCCTGGTGGGAAAATGTGGGGGAAGATAGTCAAAATAGGTCAACCCTATCAAGCATGCCCATTTGAACGAAGAAGAGTATAATTCACACATCCTTTATCATCCTTTATCTACTCATGCATGACTTGTCGGCTATCTAAGAGAGGTTCTTGAAGTCTCTCCAAAATCAGTCGGAAACAGGGAAACCCGCCTTCAAATGATGGTGTTTACCTACTTATTCAGTAAAAAACCATCATATTAGATGAAAAGGCAATATTACCTGCTCGGTATAGTACTCAAAGGTCTTTTTCTTCTTCCCTGCTTCGTATATACAGTGTTGAGACAAGACCTGATAAGAGCAAAAAAATTTGTGGGAAAGAAGAAAGCATGCAGCAATAACCACATAAACATATGCAAAACACTCACCGGGATGACAGAGGAGAAAGAATTAGAAATATGAAGAAAGGGTAACAATGCAACCAAGGTCATCCATGGCCTTATACAACGCTACAAGGCACGATAAACGCCCTTGACATGTTCCTAAATCTCGCTGCCATACACCCTGACTTTTGAGTCGACTCAGAAGTCACCTTACAGAATGATGTGCGGTTTTGACATGTTCCTGAACTGAATAGGGAAAGGGAAATAAATAGCAGTGCTATAAGCTGTGAGAAGGGCGTTGACATGCTCCTGAATCTCACTGCCATACACCCTGCCGTTGAATCGTACCTACCACTTTCACATCCTTACCACAACAAACACAAGCACCAGCAGCAACGCCAATACTCACCTGTGCCTCGACACTTGAACACACAGCATAGACCCCCCAATCCCGAGTGTAATTCTGTTCATTGCACAACAGCAACATGCAAGAAAGATGGGACAAGGAAGGAGACATGGGATGGTGAAGGAGCGCCCGATGCTTGCATGAGCCAAGGGGAATTATTGACAGTACACCACATGGTAGGTTTGAGACGTCTCAAAACTGCACTTTTATCACGGGACGAGGAAGGAAGGAGACATGGGATGGTGAAGGAGCGCCCAATGCTTGCATGACCCATGGGGAACCATTGACAGTACACCACATGGTAAGTGCACCACTTATGACCCAGCCCAGCCCAGCCCAGCCCTGGTCGGCGCATCGCACCGCACCCACCAGCACCCAAACCCACCGCTGCCTTTTTGTGTTGACTCGAAATGCATGGCCTTGATTTTATTGTCACTCGCACTGTACAATACAATGCACTTTGCCGAACCTCAAGGGGGCTCAGAGATCGACCTGAGAAACCTTTCCCAGTGCGCAAATGCACTTTGCCGAACCTGACCCGCGGGTGTTGCTGCCCTCGCTCACACTCTATACGATTGATTGCATGCACTATAGAATCAATAATTTCAATCATAAGGATAATTTCCCCGACTCACATTGTACAAATGCACGTTGCCGAACCTAACCCGCGGGTGCCGCTGCCTCGTGCCATCAAAGAAGCAGTGGTGGATGGAGGCTCGGATGCCCCGATCCTCCGTGTGCTTCGGATCTGCACCTATCAGCATCGTCTTGTCATGATTGTAAAAATGACATCTGGAGAGGAGGGGGGAGGAGGGGGAAGGGGATTAGGATCAGCACCTATCAGCCTTGTCTTGTCCTGGTTGTGAAAGTGACATCTGGAGAGGGGAGCGGGGTGGGGGTCATTGTAAGTCAACAAATGGAGCTACAGGTCTTACCTCGATATAGTCACAGTTGTAATCCCTTGCGTTGTCAATAAGATAACCGTGGTGACTTTGGGTCAATTCGAGAGTAACCTTGCTCTTACCTCAATATAGTCACATCACTTGACAATCTCGTTGTGTCAATCAGCCCATCATTGATTGAGATCAAAAGTCACCTCAATTTCCTCGATATAGTCACATCCATTGACCCTTGCACTATATCAATCAGCAGCCCACCGTGGTGACTTTTCGCTCTTACCTTGATATAGTCACATCTGTTGACCCTCTTGTAATATCAATTAACCCATCATCATAATCCGACAGAGTGCATCGGTCCACCCACACGTGGGCCACCTGGGGTTTCATCTGAATCGCATCCGCATCGTGGCCCCGGCCACCTGTCAGGAGAAAACAACAGAGGATCACGTGCTGCGAGCCACGCAGCTGCAGGCCGGCACCCTGAATTACCACCTGCAGGAAAAAGGAGGATATGACCAGGCCAGATGAAAAACTGGATTGGAGATAGGTTAAAACGGCAGGAATGGAAGGGGGGGAGGGAAAAGGGGAGGGGGGAGTTGGGAGGGACCGTCAGGAAATGGGGTTGGAGTGTGGGAAAGTAAATAATAATAAAAAAAAAAACACACAAAAAAAAACAAAAAACAACAACAATCAGGTTTCAATAAGACTATTGACGAGTAAGTGGACTCAAATTCCGTTAATCTTAATAACAAAAAAAGAAAAGAAAAAAAGAAGAAGAAACAGCAACAACAGTTTACTAGCTCTCCATAAACAGGAACTAATCCCTTTGATCTAAAGCACTCTCTGTCCTGAAAGATCATCTTACCTTCTGGCCTCGGCCGTCTATGGTGGTGAAGGAGGGTACTCGGATGGGCGAGGAGAGGGGGTAATAACAAGGGAGGGAGCATAACCTTCTGTCCTTGGCCGTCTAATGGAAGCTATAACCTCACTCTCTGTCCCAAAAGAACATCTCACCCTCTGTCCTCGGCCGTCTATGGTGGTGAAGGAGGGTACTCGGACGGGCGAGGAGAGGCTGATGGTACCCGAGACAGCAAAGACGATCCACCTTGCCGCTGCCTTGTGCTTGCAGGCGTCCCTCAGAGTGTTGGGTCCGCTGTCTGTTGGAAGAAGGAAGGGAAAGAGCGAGGAGGTTGAGGGGCATAAAAACCCTGACTAGCGCAGCAAAGACGATCCACCTGGCTGCAGCCTTGTGCTTGCATGCATCTTTCAGAGTGTTGGGGCCGCTGTCTGTTGGAAAAATTAGGGGGAGAGAAGACGCGAGAGGGAAATTGGCGCCGCAAGAACTTGTGCTTGCAAGCGTGTCTCAGAGTGTTGGGAGGGACCGTTGTCTGGAGCAACGAGGTCGAGATGCGAGGCGAGGCATAGCTTCGTCAGCGCAGCCAACTTTTGAGTCGACTCAAAAGTCAGCTCGTTGTCTGGAGCAACGAGGTTGAGATGCGAGGCATAGCTTCGTCAGCGCAGCCACTGGCAGCACGACCCACCGCGCCTCCTTGTGCTTGCAGGCGTGCCTCAAAGTGTTGGGACCGCTGTCTGCTCGCTGCGGCAAGGGCGGGCGCTGTCATGCGAGAGGAGGCGAGAGGAGGCGAGAGGAGGCGAGAGGAGGAGGCGAGAAGGGGGTTTCTTCCTCAT